ATTTTGTCAAACATTAGAAATATATTTTACATTACGCCACTATTCTTTTATTTTAAAAGAAATTTATTTAGTTTCATAAATGATAGAAATTTAATATATATTTAAATATGAATATAATAAATTTATATTAACCTCTTTATTTATTTATTTTGAATATTTTAAGGTGATTATAAGATAATGTTTGTTCTAAATATTTATTAACCATTAACAATGTACACACTCGCAAACATTAACCGTTGTCAATTATTTTTCCTCCAATCATGAATTAAAATGATTATTTTGTCAAACATTATAAATAGATTTTAACATTACGCCACTACTCTTTTATTTTAAAAGAAATTTATGTAATTTCATAAATGATAGAAATTTAAGATATATTTAAATATGAATATAACAAATTTATATTATATTCTTTATTTATTTTTTTGATATTCTAAGGTGATTATAAGATAATGTTTGTTATGAATATTTCTTAAACATTAACAATGCACACAACCGTAAATACAGTTACTTGAACTCATGACCTCAGACAATGATACTCCTTTTTTTGTGTGAATACAATGATACTCCCTTTAACTATTGTTTTAAATCTTTCGTAATTATCTCTTTATTTATTTATTTAAAGAGGTATTTCAAAGAATTAAAAAGATAAATACAAAATTATCTCTGCAGATATTTAAAGTTTGAAAAAAATTTAAGTTGAGATAATAACAAAGTTATTCTTTATTTTCTTTTAAATAAATTGAAGGGTAAACTAAACAAATGGTCATTGATGTTTGAGTAAGTTTTCATTTTTCCTATTAAAGTTTCAAAAGTAATAAATTAGTCGCTAACATTATCGATTTATAACAAAACGATCACTCACCGTTAAAAATTGTTACAGGAGTAACGTAATGTTGATGTGGCCAGACGGTCAATATTAACGACTAGTCAAAATAGTGGACCATTTGACTTATCTCTTTAAACCCCCTCAATCCTTAAAATTCCAACTTCACCCTTATTTTTTGCTACTCATCTTGGCTTTTGCTTCCACACAAAAAACAATAACAATAAAAGCAGAAAAAAATACATCTATAAATCCACACATGGTGACTTAAACTTCCAGTCTTCTTCTTCTTTCACGTGGTTTCTACGCTTAAAACCTTTCAAATAGCTCTTTAGAAAATTATACCATTAAGCATATTATAATTTTTGACTTAGTTATTTGTAGTTTAAAACATGACTGCTCTTTGGGAAATTATACCATTTTTAAATAGCTCTTCTTCTTATTCCATGTGGTTTCTACAGCTGTATCACTTATTTTATAAATGATGGCTTGTGGAGACGGAGGCAAAGTGGAGCATGGGTGGATTTGTTCCATCAACTGAAGAATACCTTAGAACTGGAATGGTATCTATTGCTATGCACGCCATTGTTCTTACAGCTTTGTATTTGTCAATTCTTAGCTAACAAATTTCAAAGTTAAGGCAGGAGAATACTAGACTTACCAAATTGTCAATGCATATACCTCGTTTACTCAGTGATAAACAAAGCTATCAGGTGAAAATTATTGAGTTTTTTCAGATATTCTTGTTTATTTTCAAGTGAGATCATTTCTAATAATTTATCCGGGTAATTACTGACAAAATGAATAAGAAGAGAGGAAAATGAACCACGCGAAAGAAGAAGAACTGAAGTTCAAGTCACCATGCGAGGATTTACAAATGTTTTTTTTTCTGCTTTCATTGTCATTGAATTTTGCTTGGAAGAAGAAGTCAAGATGAGTAGCAAAAAATAAGGGTAAAGTGGGAATTTTAAGGATTTAAAGGGTAAAAGAGATTAGTCAATTGGTCCACCATTTTGATCCGCTATTAGGGTGTGTTTGATTGGGGGAATGTGAGATTCCCATGGGAATGAAATCCACATTCCCCCGTTTGGTTAGCTGGAATGTCATTCTCAGTAATCTTACATTAGCAATAGTGGATTTTTTTGGGGGTATATTACTGGGAATGTCATTACCCCTTTCATTAGGTATTATTGATTATTGGCGTTTTGGACTAAAATGTCCTTAATTTTTTTTTCTTTCAAAAATATTTTTATTCTGTCATTGAATAATAAAAATTCTACGAAGGTTAAATTACAAATTTATCCTTAAATTATTTTAGATTTACAAAAAAATCTATAATTAAAATTTTATATGAAGTTCAGGGATTAAAATAAAATTTTACCCTTTCATTAAACCTTTTTATATTTTTAATTTTGTAAAAAAAATTATATAAATTTTATGAATTTAAATTTTTAAAGAAAATACATAAATATTTTCCAACTTGTTAAAAAAACAAATATATAATAAGGACAATTTGGTCAAATATACATTCCAACAATCTTTTATTCCTTTAACCAAACACAGTAATCTTACATTCCTGCTAAACCAACCAAACACAAAATACAACATTCCCAATAATCCTATTCCCTGGTAATCTTTTATTCCCAATGATAATCTTACATTCCGTAAACCAAACGCACCCTTAATGTTGATCGTCCAGTCACATTGGTATTTCGTTACTTCTGTAACGACTTTTTAACATTGAGTGATTGTTTTGTTATAAATACATAACATTAGTGATCAATTTGTTACTTTTAAAATTCCAGTGAGAAAAACAAAAATTTACTCAAACATGAGTGACCATTTGTGTTTCAAACACTAATGGGTTGTTTGTTTGCCTCTTAATGGAACTATTCAGTGCTTAAATGTTGAACCGTTCAACATTCAGCGTGTTTGTTTCGTATCTCTGAATAATTCAGTGCTGACTGATTCAACAAAACAGTGCTGAATGATTCATCACAGAAGTACATTCTGAATGATTCAGAGGTATTATCAAACAGCATGTCACATTCAGAGCTAAGTCATACAAAGCCTCTGAATCATTCAGCATTTGAATCATTCAACGCTTAGTCATTCTAAAATAAACAAACAGCCCCTAAGCCACTTACTGTGTTTGTTAATTAGCTAACACACATTATATATTGTGTTAAGTTAATAAGCCTAATATTTATAATTGAATTACAATATTTTCTTATATCATATATATATATATATAATTCACGACTTAAATCTGAGCTAATTGAGAATATGATAGAATATAAATAATTTAAATACATCTAATAGATTATTTATAATTAATTCAATATTTAAATATTTTAAAATTAAATTTATTTTTATCATATTTTTAATTTAAATCAAAAAATAAATTTATAATTGAATCTTAAATTATTTTTTCTTATGATTATAATCAGTCGCGGATCCAAAAATATTTTTAGGGTATGGATGCACGTACGTACGTACGTATGTACGCATGTATGCATGTATGCATGTATGTATGTATGTATGTATGCATGCATGTATGTATGTATGTATGTATGTATGTATGTATATTAATCACATAAAATTTTAATACGAGGTGGAAAATTAATATTTTAGGGTTGGCACAATCATTAAAATATGTAATTGTCCAAAGAAAATTGGAATTTCAGGTGGACATGTGCCCACCATGAATCCTTAATGAATCTGCCACTAATTATAGTTTGAATCTTAAATTATTTTTAATGATTTCATATATATATATATATATATATATATATAATCATTAAAAAGTAAATATAAAAAAACTAATTTAAAAATATTAAAATCTTAAAACAATTATAAATAATCTATTAGATTTTCTTAGTGATTCAAGTGTTTTCATATTTTCAATTGACCTAGGTTTAAGTTCTCACATATCCATTTTTATTTATTTATTTTTCTATCATTGACTATAATCTATGATATTTATAAAATTTTGTAATTCAATTATAAATATTAAATTTAGCTCACGGGTTAAAGCTTGTATTGTCTCTAACAAAGTCTTAAGTTTGAATCCTATCTAAATAAATTTAACTTTAGCAAGATATATAATACATGTATTCACTTATTAACAAACATGAGAGATGTTCAATAGTTGAAGTGAGGAGCCACCCATGGTACCAGGTTTGAATCCCCCAGGTAGTAAACTATATTCATATTTGTTTTCTCTTCAATTCAGAAGGTAATTAAGTGGTGATGTATCACAATTTAATTGAAGAATTATATTTATTGAACTAAAATAAAATTAGGATCAAATTTAGAGAATGTATAAGTATTAAGGATTAAATATATAATTCTACTAATTTTGTTAATTGTACTTATGTTAAATGTTAACTACATATGGCTTAATTGAAAATAGGAATGAGCATAGGATTCAAACATGACGGGTTTCGACATGACTCGATTTCATCGGGTTAATTTTTTTTTTAAATTGAGTTCGAGTTGGGCCTGATCGAGTATTTTTATAGGTAATGGTCGGCTTGGGTCGGGTTCGATTTTAGGATGAAAAATATCAGACCCAACCTAACTCAAAAAATAATTTTACCTTATATATTTAGGGATAATTACAATAGTACCCCTCTATATAATGTTTTTCAATTAAATCCATATTTTTATTGAATAAAAAATATTTTTTAATAAATATATTATTTTGAGTCGAGTCGGGTTCAATTTTATCTCAAAAAGTCGGGTCGAGTTCAGGTCGGGTAGAGGGTGTATATTTTTCGGGTCGGGTGGAGGATGTATAATTTTTGGGTCGGGTTGGTTTGACCGAAACCCGACCCAAATTCGACCCATGCGCATCCCTAATTGAAACTACTTATAATTATGTGATAATATTGTAAAAATTAAAAGTATAATGGTCATATCAACATCAACTTCATAGTTATATGATCATTTGAGTAGTTTACCCAAGAAAACAAGCTTTCACAATTACCATATAATAGTCCTGTTTTAAACAAAGTGAAAAATAAATAGGTTAATTTGATGGAAGCAAAGTATATTGGGGCAGAAAACTAAACTGTCCATACAAGAGGGTCTTCTGTTGCAATTAAGTAATTAATGTTAAAAGCCGAAAAATGTCCCTGCTTTGGTCTTTGAGAACCTCTGTTCATAGTTCTCTGTTCTACTTGCTTCATTTCAACCAAATAAAAAACAAAATAAAAATGATAGAATTAATCAGTCGACGGCATTTAGAATCATTCGTCTCCGTTTTCGTCACAGTCCACCCTCATGAAATCTCTGCTTTGCTCCATTCTTCTTCATGCTTCTTCTTTGTAAGTTTTATTACCAATCTTCAATTTAACTTTACCTAAAGATCATATTTTTGAATTGCTTTTTCCTTCCCAGATTTTGAGTGCTTATTTTGTGGTGCTGCCATTAAGGGATGAAGGAGCAATTTCATTGGGCTTATCCAATTTGCCTGGATTGTTTGTTGGGTCCTTAGTGTTGACTTTGATAGCTGCTCCTATTTCTACTCTTATCTTCTCTTTGCCTAATCTTTCCAAAGTCAGGGTAAATTTCATTTTCTTTATTGTTTTTGTTCTTGGATTTTGGAATTTTACTGAAATATTGAAAATAGGCAGTCTTTAGTAGGAGTGATCATCTGATCTGAGTAGACTAAAAAATTTTCAAGTTATTTGAGTCATGAGTAGTATTTTATAACTCAAAAGTTATTTGAAAATAGGCAGTCTTTAGTAGGAGTGATCATTTGATATGAGTCTTTAGTCTATTTGAATTTAATTGTAAATATTTATAATATTACGATATTATTTGATTCTAATTTATACGGTCTTTTATAACTATATATAATATTCATATATATTTCTTCATTTTTTTTCTAACATGATATACTTATATATGTAGAGTAGAGTCAAACTTGAAAATCAATTAAAATGTTTCAAATTATTAGAGATCTATTTTTTAACTCGATTCGAATTTGAAATTTTTTTGGGTCGTGTTTTACTCCCCCTATTGTTTAGTTTAAGGATGAAGTGATAAGTTTGGCTCATTAGCAGTTTTTAAACTCGATTTGAATTTGAATTTTTTTTGAGTCGTGTTTTACTCAGCCCTATTCTTTAGTTTAATGATGAAGTGATAAGTTTGGCTCATTAGCAGTTCGTTTTGCTACTTTTTTCCTTTGGAGAGTGGAAAGTTAAAGAGAGGTTGGTATATAAAAACCAATGGTAGTTTTGAAGAATCAAGAGTTTAACAGTTTAACTTTCGTAGATATCAAACCGCATAATTTTACTTAATACAAGTATGATTGAGTTGCTGTTTGTTTCTCTTGGTTTATGTAGAGAACTATGAGTTATGACCTAGTCATAGTTCAGTAGAGTGGAGTTCCGGGACGGATGAATTATGGCGCCATTCTCTTTTGTTATTGTAGTTGATGATGTTGGTGATCAGTTGGAAATCATTCTGCATATGAAGAGTAAATTACTTGTATATGGTTCCAGAAGTAGTGTCTTGGGAGAAATGAATTGAAAAGTTTAGCTTTCTTTGTTGTAATTATGGTTGATAATGTAGCTTTTGCATCACTTGGTCTATGTAACTTTTAATTGCCAATTATTTGACTTAAACACTGGAAGGTTACTTTCTACGATCACTCACATAAATGGACTTGAAGATGAGACCTTTAACTTCCATAAGTTGAGAGAATACCACCATACATGTGACGATTGGAAGGCTTTCTTGTGTGTTAATTTTTGCGCTTTAGCATTGAACCAGATAATAATGGAAATTGTTTTTTGATCCGCCTATGGTTGTTTTAGTAATTGTATCAGGTTGTATAACTATATTTCTTATTAATTGCGATTTTATTCTTTACGTTGTCATTGTAACCATTTATAACTATGTTTCTTACCAGTAGGATTCTTCATTTTTTGTTATATATCATCCTCTTATCGGTGGTTCTTGAAATTCCAGGCGTTGGTTTTTATACACAGGTTCTTTAGTGTATCACTTGTTGTGTTCTTCATCCTATGGCATATTTCATCAATAGAGCCTTCACAATCCAATTCAAAGGTAAATCCAAAGTCCACATGGTGGTGCCATTCTCATGTTTGATCCTTGTTTGTCATCATAAAATCGGTTCTTCATTTTGTTTTGTACTAACATGTGATGCAATTTTTTTGTAGAATTCACTTGGGCTTTCCACCGAACTTAAAGTCGCTATCGATCAAGACAGCCCTATTGATTCTAGAGGTTGGGGAAACCATGGTTGGTTGTATGTTTTAGTTAGAATTGGATTGTTCCTCTGGGTATGAGAACACTTGATCCATTTGTCATTAGTTTTGCCCGCCAACTATTATCTAGTATTTTGATATTAATAATGGAAACACATTTTTTTGGGTTTGAATGGAAGGTTTCCCTGCTTAATCTTATTACAATATCTTCAACTTGGGCTAGAGTAATTGATGTCACAGAATGTGAGGTATCGATGATTTCACAAGTTTTTTCCCATGAAGATTAAGATATCTTGCTTGTGCTCAAATTCCGTTTTGCATTCAGTCAGGGTCAAGATTGTTCGGTTTCATTGGTGCTGGTGCTACGCTTGGCCAGCTCTTTGGGTCTTTGTTTGCCACAGGAATGGCTTGGCTGGGGTCATGTATGTATGCCCGGTTGATTATTTGAATGCCGGATTGTCAATGTTTGTTATTTTACTAGTTTTTCTCCTCTCTTTCCTCCCACCGTATCTTTTTCTTTTGTCAACTTTGTGCCATTTAATTGCAGTTCTTCTCCTATTTGCTGCTGTTTTAATGGAACTAGCAGCACAGTCGTCAAAAGGGATCAACAGGGATATAGTTCTTATCCCTGAAGAGTTATCTCCTATCGGGTTAGCTAAATCGCCATGTCTGTGGTTTTGTTTTGTGTGTGTTTCTTGTGAACCTGCACACATGAATTTTGAGGATTGAGCCTCATATTTTCTAACTTGGTGTTTCCTTATGGAAGAGCTGACATGGATCAACCAAAAGATGATGATGATGAGCAAACTGCATCAACTGTCGAAGTTTCTTCTCCTGAACTATCTACCACTCCTGTGAAGCCTCAGCTTTGGGCTATCTTAGATGGATTGCGGCTCATATTGTCATCAACCTATTTGTTGCATGTGTCATTGTTCCTCTGGTTGAGTTCAGTTGTCTCCTCTTTCTTCTATTTTCAGGTAAAAAATGCTATCTTGATACACACAATACATATAGCTTGAATTTGCCTACATGCACCAAATTTTATTGAGATTTTTCTTTTTGGTACTTGCATGCACCAAAATTTTCAATTAAACAAAAAGAGTCCATAGCGTTTAATTTGTTACATCGGGTTGTTCTTACCTAGTGTTGTGTCCAATAATATGCTTGGTCGTGGTACAATTTTCTAATTTTGCAGAAAGTGAATGTCATTGCCATGACAGTTGCAAGTTCGGTTGGAAGAAGAAGATTGTTTGGCCAAATAAATAGCTTAATTGCTGTTTTTATCCTCACAGGACAACTTACCTTAACGGTATGCTATGCTTACTATGATTTTTGCAGTTTGTTTTGAACTAAAATATCTACTCATCACAACAAAGAAGATAAATTATTTTCTTGGTGCTCGTTGATGTCATTCTTTTTCATGTCTATTGTCCTATGGGGTCCAAATCATCTCTGGCTATGCCATTTGATCAAATTACGATCCTAACTTTTACTGCTATTGTGTCTTCACATGTTACAGGGGCGGATTCTTACCTTTGCTGGGGTTACTACAGCTCTATGTTGCACTCCACTTGTTTCCTTAGCTAATCTGGTTGCAGTTGCCTTATGGCCAACTTGGACAGTAGTTGCCATTTCCGAGACTCTAAGAAAGGTCTTTCAACGTCGACCATCTTTTCTTTTAATCTATTCTGTTTTTTCTTTCCTTTTTATCTGATTTATACGGAACTTGGTTTGCTTACCGACATTGTTATGACCGTTCTACGTCTATTACTATGCAGGTGGTCAATTATGTTGTAACCAAGCCCGGAAGAGAACTCTTGTTTACCGTTGTTTCTGAGGACGAGAAATACAAAGCTAAAGTGCATAGATTCTATCATTGTGTCCTTTATGTTTCTGCTACTTTATTTCGATGAATTTCCGATGTTTTATTTTTTTTAGCGGGCATGCAGCATATGTCAATCATATGTTAGTATTCGACTTCCTTTTACTTTAGAACCAAACCTCTTGTGTTTCAATTGAGCATCTCAAGTATTTTTCGAGTCCGCTAAGAAGTGAATTAGTCTGTGAAATGCTGAAAGCACTTAAATACGGTTTGCCTGTACACCTGATGTTGCAGATATGCATAGATGTAATCGTCCAGCGACTCGGGGATGCTACGGCAGCCGGTATATACAAACTACTTTTCACCAGGCTCAACGGGCGAATATCAACAGTTTCTCTCTATGCACTCCCTGTATGTCTTCAGAAATCCATCAAGCGGTCATCTGTATTCATACATTTATTAAACTCGTCTATATATCCTTGTCCGTAACAGAGCTGATGAAAGTGTTCCATCATTTTTATTTCCTCCAGGTTTGTTACTTTGGATTATCACAGCGTTTTATTTAGGACGCCATCAGACACATTTAGCGAAGCTCCAAGTTGGATCCTCTTGTTGAAAATTTTCTGAAACATGATTTGTTGTACGTTTCTCCGTAAATTGAAGAATGAGCAGGTCTAGATCCTTACATATGTCAAATCATTGCCAGATGTAACATATTCTACGAGCCGCTCGGATCAAAGCATTTGCAGAAAGGAAGTGCTATACAAGTGGACTACTATACGAGTCTTATTTTTATATTTTCCTTTTCATTCGGATATGAATGTTTGATATACGTGCAAGTGTTTAATACGAATAAATTGATTTTTTCATATTTAAAGGTTGTCGAATGGTAAATCTAGGTGAACATAAGGTATTGTCTGTTAAAACACTTTCAACTATTTGACAATGAACACTCATATCCTACATATACGATGCTCGAATTTGAGATCTTAAATGATAACAACCACCTTTTAATTACTGAGGTTGTTTGGTTCGTGTCTATATTAGATGAAGAAAGTAATGGCAGATAGTGGGTTGAACGACATGGTTAGGAAGGTTAGAAACGACTCTTTGTAGGGGACGAAGAACCGTGTGGTGTTCGTGTTGTGTTTCGATGTCAGATCAACAAATCAGAGTCAAGAATATGTTCTGTTTCCCAACAGCTTTCCTTTTGGCCCTCACAAAACAAAATAGGACTAGTTGGTAATCATGTTAGAAACAGAATATTAATCCATGAGTGCATGGTTTCCAAGCTTATTAGATGGAGAAATTTACATTTAAACATATTCGAACTCATTCTCTTGAATTTATTGAATGATATAATTAATAAAAATTAAAATTATTTTTCATATGAAATCTGAATTTGGGTAATTGTATTTGCATTAAGTTAAGAAAATTATAAACATATATTTCTTTTTAATTATTTGGACTATTGACTAATTAAAAAGAATTATTTCTAATACAAAAATGAGTAAATTCCTTTGGCTTTGGTAGGAACCCCCACTAAGCAAGCACAAAGGACAGGTGTGTGGTGCTACATGATTCATCTTTCATTTCCCACTTCAAATTGCATTTGAATTTGGTCTAAAACCCTCGAAATCAACCGGATTTTGATCAGACATTAATTCTCAAATGCTTTAATCTGTTCTCAGAATCTGTTTTCTCATTGGACAATGCTTGAGTTGTCTAAGCAACATCCCTCCACTAAGCATTTACCATCCTTATTAGGAAGACGTGCTTTATCCTACACTATTCCGTCCTCGTTGACTCAAAACTATAAATTTAATTATGATACACTATCGGAAGCTCAATAATTTTCGACTATTTTGAAATGTGTTCGAACTTTTTTGAAAACCCCAATTTTTAAAAATAAAGCCTACATTGATCATTTGAGAATAGGTACGATCGAACACCTAAAAAACTAATTTTCAATAAAAAATTTAAAATTTTCTTTTTTCAAAAATCAATTTTTATATGTGTTTAACCAAAAATTCGGGGAAAAAACTTTAATTTCACAAAAAGAAGTCCATTAAATTAAATTTTTATTTTCTTCTTACATAAGATGCATGTTATTTTATTGATTCCACTTAGGAAATCTAAAAACCCCATTAATATTGGTTAATTGTTATTTTATTTTCTCTTTAGATTATTGTTGGACATGCACATCCGACCTTGAAAATTATACCGTTGATATATAATCTAATACGGATTACAGCTGAGAATTGATCATGAAAGGAGAAAAAGAAACAATATTTAAATATAGGTGCAAAAAGAATCCTATAAAAGAAGGAAAAAAAGCAACTAAAAGGACATATTGAGACAATGACTACTCCAAAATCAGATAATACACCACTCAAGTTTGCATATTATAAAGAAATTATATTTAATTTACTATAAATTCTAACTCGAATCTTAATATTTATAATTCTTTTATTCGTTCGAATAATGGTTTAATTTTTTACTATTTAAAAAGAAAAAGATCGATTGTGATATTTTTTAGAATTATGAATGAAACATGATCATGAAAAATGAAAAAAGTTTGAAAACAATGTAAGGGAAAAGTGTCGATAATTAGGTTTACTTACCCTAGAAAGAGGAGTAAGTGGATGAATTGGGGCCAAGGAAATGAAGGTGGAAGGCATAAATGTTCACTTTCGGGTAGTGTTCTCCCAATTCCTAACTCTTTTCCCATTATCTTTCCTTTTCGGAGATGGGAGAGCATTATTTAGTGAATGAAAGCGACCACCACTTCCAAACATAGGAGTTTGATCGATTTTAAATGAGTTTTGAGAAAAAATGTTCTAAATAAAAGAAAAATGTGAGAAATAGTAATGTTTTGATATTGATTTGGTTAGAAATGATGATTAACGACTGGTGATGATTGACTGTGATAATAGCTGGACAAATTGATATTTTTTTATTAATATGGGATAAATAAAATGAGTATCAATTCAAAGATAATTTTCAATCATTTGATATTAAAAACTCACACCCCCTAGCATTCTTGATATTCAAATTCGGGGATTCAAGAAGTAATAACAATTCATTTAACATTGAGGTCAGTCGGTTCGTGCCATAATTAATTCTACAAACGAGATTGATTAATATTTTATAATCTTCTCACTTAATTGAATCTTGGGATTAACATAATTAATTCACACGATACAATGATTATAAAGATATAAATATCAAACATTTACATTTTTTTATTTATAGATGTGCTTAGTTACATAAAATTTATTTTAAAATCTTAATCACTCTACAATTAAATTCAATTCCAAGTATAATTAATATTTTTGCTTTAATTATATGCTCAATTTAAGAAGTAAACAAATTTTGACAACTCGGTGTGGGGATCAAACATCAATTCTTTTAGATGCTTGAAGCTTCTACTTATGACAGATTGACAATGATTCTAACACCACTGGAACATGCAAAAACAAACCCTTATCTACAAGGTAAAAATTATTGGTCCCAATTTGTTTAGAATCATGCTTCCTTGCTTGTTCCTTCAATCATTTTTTTTGTCCCTCTTAGGAATCCATAAATATTAGCCGTAAAATTAAATTAACTTTACATGAAAGGATAAATATCGAATTTTTATATTATGAATGAAATAAATCGAATTGAAAGGATTATTGTTATAGTAAATCTCTAATGTATCTGATTAGAATAAATCATATCATAATTTTTTTATTACGAAATAAAGGATAAAATGCTTGTGTAAGTAAAATTAAAACATAGAGGCTTATCTAAGAGAAGTCAAAATAATCATAAACAAATTGATATATGTCACTAAATCTCTTTAATAAGGTTAAAGATAGATTCATGATATTATAAATAAAGATAGATCACCCTCACAATAAATATATGTAATATCAAATTTGAATGAGTCATCTAATATTTTTTTACACCTATAAGTGTAAAGGATAAAATACTTGTTTAAGTGAAATTAAAAAAGAGGGGCTTACTTAAGAAAATCAAAATAATTCAAGGGTTCTTTCTCAATATTTTACCAAAAAAAAAAGAATTCATAAAAAATATATTTACCGACCGTTTATCTTTGTATGTGAAATGTGAATCCATTTCTTGTTTCTTTTTAGGTTTTTCCTACAAATCTGAAAACTACAACGATATTGTCCTAAAGAGACAAAACCCAACTCTGAAATTCCTTCAAATCAGACCTAAACATGATCAAGTTCAACTGCTTTTCCACTTTCGTCGGCTATTGCTTGCTCATGTGCGCCGTTGACCGCATTCCCTCTCCTTTTCACGACGCCAACCGTCACTAATTGTTCCGTCGCCCAATCCCCAACGTGCAACACCATGTATGTTCCGATCCCGCCAATCAACCCGTACGCTATTGAATATGTCAACGGCATCAAAATCATCGTCACGAAACCCGGGATCGCCTGCTTCATATCGTCCCACTCGATCTCCACCACCGCCCTCATCATTAACACCCCCACCAAGATCAACGGCGGCCCCACTGCCCACGCCGGTATCGACGCTAGTAGCGGCGTGAAGAAGAATGCCAAGAAGAAATACCCGGCCACCGTTAGAGCCGTTAACCCCGTTCGCCCACCTTCTCGTATCCCCGTCGATGATTCGATGAATGTTGTTACCGGTGATGTCCCTAGCAATGATCCCACGACAATCGACGTAGCGTCCGACATGAAAGCGAAGTATTGGCCCTCAAAATTGCCGTTTGGATCGGTGAAACCCGCGAATCGGGCCATGGAATATAGTGTACCGGTTGTGTCCAATATGTCAACGTACAAGAACGTGACCAAGGCCTCCCAAAAGGAACCTTTTCCCATACTACTAAAACTCAATGCCCCCGCTGTACTTTGAATTAGATGAATGTCGACAACTTTAGTGAAATAATTGTGTGCTGAGTTACCGGCGATGGTGTTCGGAAAAGCCGTCACTTTAGTGTCGCGAAACCACGAAATGGCCGTCACAAATACTATACCATAAATCATGGCACCCTTGATATTTTTCACCAAACAATAAGCTATAATCACAAAACCGACGATTCCAAGCCATAATGTGGGATTTTCCATTCTGCCACGTAAACATAAAATGTCACTAGAGATGATACCTCCTGGTATTACAGTGATGCTTCTGTTAGCTGCCGCTAAAACCGGTGCAACGGCAACTCGAGACGAACTCGGGCACCCGCCGAGCGTCACTAGGGTCGACGGATTATACCCGATTAACCCGATTCCTTGGTTATTTTGTAATCCGATAAAGGCGAGGAAAAGCCCGATACCCACGGACGAACTGATGCGAACCGGTTTAGGTATCAATTTAGCTAATTTGGCCCGGAATCCAATTGCTGAAATGAACAAAAAGATTAAGCCTTCTAGGAAAACCGCAGCTAAAGCATTTTTATAAGAGACATTACCCGACCCGTGAAACCCGACAACGGTGTAGGCAAAGTACGCATTTGTCCCCATACCAGGAGCCAAAGCCAGGGGCAAATTCGCGAAAGTACCCATAATCAAACAGCCAATGAGAGAAGAAGCAACAGTGGCGACTATGAGATCTTTACGTACTTTCTCCAAACACGAAGCGTAACCCGGGTTGACCGGGTCGAATTTGCATGACGAATCGGGCTGGACAACTCCGACACTCGACCCGGTGCAGTTGGATAACGGAAGGGAAGGGTCGGAACATAGAGGAACGCAGTCGGAGACTCCGCAAGGACCGCCTGAGTCGGCGAGGATGGAAGCGTTGACGGCCAAGATGTAAGCCATGGTGAGGAAAGTGGCGGTGCCGGCGCGTAACTCGGTGGTGAAAGTCGAGTTCCGTTCCGCTAACTGGAAGTGTTTCCCGACCCGGCTATTGGCCACGGCTGAGTTAAGCCGAGTTAGGAAGGTTTTGGGTGGTGGGTGAGGTTCCATAACCATGGCAAAACGAAAGAAAAAAGAACAGAAAAAAGAAATGAACTTCGTTAATAGGTAAGAGGAAAAGAGTAAATATATATATATATATATATATATACCCAAAGAATGGTGAAATTTTATAAAAAAAAATTCGGGAAAAAATAGTGGAAAAAGGGTAGAGATTCTGTAGGATGAAAGTGAGAAGAAGGGATCTTTTTATATAAGGGTGAAAGTATCTGATAATTTGCAGAAGAAATCAATAGATTATGGGCACCATGCCATAATAATGTGATCAAATTTTGGCTAAATAACACTACAACTCACTCATTCATTGATATGATTGTAATAAGTCATTATATTTTGGCTAAATATACATTTTCACGGTATATTTTCATCATATTGCTATTACTGTAATATATAAAGTTGTTGAAACAATTTTTACTTAGACGATTCTAATATTGAGTGACATGAATGTACTAATAGATAAATAATATGACCTAATTATTATAATTAATAAATAAAGGGACCTCATTTTATTAAAAATACTAACGTAGATATTGCGACTAACCCAACCCACGTCGGGTCCTCATCTCTCTCTATATAAAATATGGTTTTGGTCAGAATAGGAACTGTTTTAATTACTAATTGGATCAGCAAATTGAATTCTGCTACTTTGAAATATGAAAACCGCTACTAATTATATGTTAGAAATTTTAGATTTTCGTAAAATTTAATTTTTTATTTTTATTACATATAATTTTATACTTGTTATTTTAAGAAAAATCAATTGATGGTTTTATTTATTTTTATAATATAGTTTATATTTTTAAGGTTAAATTTGACATTATTCTTAGGTGATGTTTATTTGATTATATTATTGATTTATCTCTATTACTATTTTTTTATAGATAGATATTTTCAATCATCAAAAATAAGTTGTAGTTTAACTGTGATAAAATCGCTTTGTTAATATATTATCATCATTTTTTATGATAGCATTGATGATATTAATAATGATATTTGTATCTATTATGTTATCATATTTTATTATTTAATGTCTAGTTTATGTACTTTAATGATTTTAGGAAAACAATAATAGATTTTTATGATTTTATGTTTTGGGATGAACTTCTAAAATTTTAGGAGATGACAAATTTATAAATTTTGAAAAATAATAATAGATTTTTTAATAAAAAATAAGAATATTTTAAATATATAATAATTTAATTTTTATTTTATTTTTTAAAAAAAATATAAAATATCTTAAATATATGATAATTTAAATTTTTTAAAAGGATGATTGCCTATTCTCTTATCTATCCTATACAAAAGGTTAAAACATAGTTGGACAATTGACAAGCTATATACTGTTGTTACAATAACTTCCAAACATGCCTCCAAAATTTGAAAGAAAATCAGGGGGAGATATTGACAAAAAAAAAAAGGGCACAAAACAACTAAAATTGACTTTATTTACAATGTTTTTAATGAAGCATTTAAAAGTCATATTATGCCTTCCAAGTCCAAATATCTCATTTCCCTCTTGACATATTTTGGTTTAATACATTGATTTGATTATTTTGGATGCCACCTTTTTATTTCCATGATTTTCAATAATCAAAAGGCACGTTTTGCATATTAATAAGCAATTAAACCATAATTAAAATTTTAAAATTTTAGTTTAAACCTTCTAAACTTCTAAAAGTTTTAAGTAGGCCCTATATTTTATCACGATCTACCACTAATCTTTCATAACAGATAATATTTGATAAATTTAAATAAATTTAAGTATGATGGATGATATTTAACCATCATTTATACATTTTGTCAATCTTATTTTTTTAAAATATTTCAACCCTAGGCTTCAATATTTCAAAAAGTCAAATAAGTATCTTTACCAAAAAAATTTTGCCTAAAATATTAAAATTTTAACAATACTAATAGGTTTAAGTATACAAAAGGTGTTCAACTTATGCCCGTTTTTCCAGTTTAGAGCCTAACATTTATTTCGTTCTAGTTTGGTGCCTAACGTTTCATTCTGTTAATCAAAATGGGTCAAGCTGTGACGGACTGTTAAGTTTGATCGTTAACCCATTAAAAATGCCACCTGACATATTTTTTAATAATAAAAAATAATTTCTGAAAATAAGAAATTAATTAAAAGGAAAAATTAAACTTTATTTAGTTGAGGGAAATAGAGTTAATGGCGAAGGAGAATCTAGAAAAGACTTGTCGTCTTTAACCGGAGGAGACTGTGAATTACTACAACGAGCATGTAGCCAAGAAGTTGATGGGATTGAATTCCGCGAGGTGCAATATGAGGAGGAAGAAGAAAAATAGAAGTCCCTGTGAGGCGTCTAACCCCATCGATCAGTGTTGGCGGTGCGATGAATATTGGGAGATTAAAAGGATGGAGTTTGGCAATTGCGCCCTTGGATTCGGCCATGGCACCACCGTTGAAAAAGGTGGTGATTTTTACGTTATCACTGATTCTTCCGATGATGTTCTTAACCCGAAACCCACCGCTACACCGTCATCCAAACGAGGTCGTTTTGGATCATCTTCCATTATTAGATGGTGATTACGCCGAAACACGAGCTATTTACTATGACCAACGATAAAACCATCGATGGAAAGAGAGTTAAGGTGTATATCACTTACAACGTCGGTCTTGCTATCCAGTTCGCGAAGAATATTATTATTCATAAATCATAACCTTCATATCCACGACACGGTGGCCTGTGAAGGTGGCACAATCAAGGACAGTGAAGGACACACCGGGGTTAAGACGAAGAGCGACGACGATGGGATCTCTATCTTCGGATCAACCAACGTTTGGATCGACCATCTCTCAATGTGTCGATGCTTCGACGGTCTTATCGAAGCTATTCAGGGCTTTACCGCCATCATTATTTCGAACTGTTATTTCACCGATCACAACGATGTAATATTTATAGCACCCTAAATCCGATTGGGCCTAAAGTGTCATATTAGGCCACCGAGACAAACCTTGATTTTAAAAACCTGTCCATTTTCTTTTCAAACTTACTAAATGGTATCATGAATAAAACATAAATAATTGTTATAAAAACGTTTTATAAAATCAGAGCTCTATGACACATAATTTAAACCAAAAATAATACAAACTATGAGTTTAATAAACTGAATACATAAGTATGGTTCTATGAACACATATGCGCACTAAGCTATGGTACAATACTCTGAAGGAGATTTTGGAAGTCTTGTTGTGATTGTGCTCCACGAACTGCTCATGCTACTAACTTGCCAACGAAAAACATCCGAAGGCCGAGCTTATAAAGCCTAACAACATAATCACTAATCTAGAGAAGCATAAGAATATAATAAACACAAGAAATGATGAAAAGATGGTACTAAGCAGTAGATACATGCATGATCTAGATCAGTTGCTACCTACTTAAGGCTTTTGTCTTATATTTGAATAGGGGTCTCATGTTTCCTTAGATCCTCTACTGAGGGCTTAGCCATGAGTATATCTCTAAAAGGGTCTCTAACCCTAATATTTGTATATATTATGCACGATCTGAATGCAACATTGACTCTAATGTGCATTATTTGAATACAACACTAACTTTTCTATGCATTATCTGAATACATTACTGAATCTATTGTGCATTATCTGAATGTGATGTTGACTCTGTTATGCATTATCTGAATGCGATACTGATACTATTATGAAACACACAAATTGTAGCGGACATCATGGTGCGGATAAGGGTTCTGTATCTTAGAGCTCACACACCCTCTAGCCTGTCGAAATACCCTTGGGTGCCTGGGTGAGATCCGAAACTACATCAAAAATGTACACCCAGCCCCTTGGGTATATAGGGTGAGATCTGGAACTACATCGGAAGCGTACACCTTGCCAACTTACCATGTCAAGTCTTGGAGCATCTGCGTATAGTTGGAAAAGAAGTGTCGTGGCACTGATTGGTATATACCTCGACAAACTAACAAACAAGATAATCGTATTACTGCTAAAGTAACTTTGGTATTCTGGTTATTTCTCGAGTTTCACATAAATGCTAGTTATATGACATCCTAGTTGTTTTTGTTTCTAACTGTTCTGAGTTATTACTGATTTTGTTTACTACTCTCCCTAGCTGTTATTTTGCTCGTTCTCTCATCTAGAATATTATGCGAGGGTTTATAAATATGTTACTACTAATAATCTGTACCGATATGGTTATTCCTTACCTTAGGGCATTTTAGTCATTCTTTGACTCTGAAGAAATCCTTACGCATTTTAGGACCTCACAACGATTATTGTGTTTGTTGGTTGCTGACTGTGATATTGGCTAGCCCGATATCTAACTCGGGTTTATTTCTGGGTAGTGATACTATATTCAATATTACTACGATTTCCCTCAATTCGCTTTAGAATTAAAGGGATAACTGAATGTCCCACACTCTCGGTCATCCTTGCGGTAAACGACTGTGTTGTTTCATAATTGGATTACTCGATCATACCACTTACTGATACACCCTATTCGATGATCCTTTATTATTAGATATATGTTACGTGTTCAACTGAAGATACTTGGACGTTTTACGCCTACTATGGATACACTGGTTGTAACCCACTCCTATGAGTGTTGTTGGGCCCCTTTGGCCATTTACGTCCTCATGGACTAAGTTCAATCCTTACAGACAATCCTTAGCTCTTACGAGCCTTAAACAGGTCAAATCTGAGCATCCAATGTGGATAGTATCGATATTCTACCCGTAGTATTGATACCTTGGGGTCGACTATCGATACCCTGGGGTCGACTATCGATACCCCTATGAGTATTAGTACCAAAAATGCATTATGTTGCTGAAATAGGGGCTTACTATCGATACCCCTACAATATCGATAGTTAGGGTGGCTGTATCGATACTCCCATCCTGAAATCCTTAATTTTTACCCCAATTCATCAGGTATCGATATTGTTCATCCAATTATCGATACTCTAACTCTGAAATGGTTATTTTAGGCTCGAAAATGCATAAAATCACTCTAAATGCTATATTTTGATTCTAAATCATGTACTAATGT